GGTGGAGGTGGAGACTTTAGAGGTAGGAAGGGACTAGTGGACTGTACTTCCAATTGAAACAACTTTACGAAAGGTGGTTCCAAAGCCGAGAAAACGAAGTTGTCGGCCAACACACGGTTTGGCCGCCAAGGGCTTTTGCGGTCAGCTGTTGTGTAATGACCTGTTGTGCGAGGTGCTGATTTTCGGCCCACAGGTACTTTGACATGACAGTCACTTGGCAGAACACTTATTATAACAAAAATAGTTGGCATAGCGAAACCAGGTGGAAATTTAGTTTGGGCGGCGTAACTAAATGGGAACTGGCTTTGACCGTCAAAGGCTGTCAGAAAATACCACTCATGGTGGGAGGTGCACACTTTACAGGTGGGAAGGGACCAGTGGACGGTACTTCCAGTTCGAACCACTTTGCGATAGGTGGCTCTAAAGCCGAGAAAAAAAAAATTGTTCTCTACAGAACTCGGGGTGTCAGTGTTTCCACATCCAAAAGGAGGCTGATCAAGAAAGAAAGCACACCACATAAACTTCCATACTCAAACGCCTATTCTCCAGTGATTTTGAGTTTCATGGTAGTTTTCTTTAGATTTATATTTGTCACTTTCTTTACCGTTCAAATCTTTCTTCGTGAAGTACAGATTGCGTGCCGTATTTGTCCGGAAATATCATCGACAGGTACGATGGGGACGAAACTTCTTTGGAGGGCATTCCTCCAACGAAATTGGCGCGGCATACCCGCGAGTGTGGGATGGCATTTCAGTTCGTCCCATCGGCGCTGACACACGTGGGCGTTACTGGTACGAAAACAAACGCAGAGCGCAAAGCGGCAGTGTAGAATATGTCAGGCGTGCCGACACAGTGGCAGACATCATCGGGACACCAAATTTCTCGCGTCGTGCGGCACGGCTCCATCGTTGTCGCTGTCCCACAAAACATCGGCGAGGTGAAAAACTGTGAAACTTTGTCCGCACGAGATACGACGCATAACTATTGAAGCACTTAATGACGCAGCACAGGCAACACTTCATGCTGTGAACCCAGCGCAACAGCACCACTCCGAGTTCAACGCGTACCAACGTACGCCGGCGTGGTTTCGGTTTCGTTTTTTCTGGGATGCTCACTGCCTACCTTCGGAACCGGCCGCGCGGCGGCGCGCCAGTCGCGTCGCACGGAGTGTATAGGCTCCTCAGGGGGAGCCGGGGGGAGACCCGCTGGGGTCGGCAGCCTTAACGGCTCACTGGCTCTCTGCTGGGTCAAGACACGGGGTTGTCCCCGGCCTTTGGGAGGCAGGGAGGCAGGGGCGGCAAGGGGTGCCATCCCCCGCTTCAGGGTGGACGTTGAAGGAACAGCGTCCACCGTGTGGTCGGGGCACAGTGCAGCTGGCACCGCTCCCGTGGGTTTTAGAGGGGACGCTGACGGGAGACACACTCCTTCTGGAGGAGTCTGTCTTCCCGCCGACGCCATCACGGGTCGTGCGGGTCCCCTGTGCACGACCTCGGCATATCCTCCTTTTGATAGGAAGGAAAAACGTTTTTTTGCCTCATGGTACGAGATGTTTTCTGTTGTCTTCAGAGTCAATATCTCTTTTTCTTCTTTCCACTTCGGACAAGAGCGCGAGTATGCTGGATGATGACCATCACAGTTCACACATCTCAGTTCATTTTCGCAAGTGTCGGCAACATGTTCTTTACTGGAGCATTTCGCACAAGTGTCACTTCCCCGGCAGCTCCGTGACCCATGGCCGAACCTTTGGCAATTAAAGCACCGCTGGGGGTTCGGCACATAGGGGCGAACACGGCACTGGAGGTAGCCTGCTTTTATGGTCTCTGGAAGCGTGGTGGCGTCAAAGGTCAGTATAACATGTCTTGTTTTTCGTTCCACACCCTCACGACAAAGGGAGATGCGTCGAGCAGCTACTACTCCTTGGTCTGAAAGGCCTTCAACAAGTTCCTTTTCAGACGAGTCCATTAGGTCGTCCTCTGAAATAACTCCTTGAACTGTATTAAGTTTGCGGTGTGGAGTGACATTTACTTTATAGTCAGACACAGCATTGAGAGAAAGAAGGGAATCACTTTGCTTTTTGGTGTTGATCTCAACAAGAAGGTCACCGGACGCCATCTTTTTGCAGAGTAATCCTTTCAACGATTCCTTCCAGTACCTTGGCGACCAGGAAAGGGGACAGTCTAGAAAGCGGTTTTTCTTCTTCAGAATGCAAGACAAGAAATTTTGGAAATTTTTCAGGTACAATGGATGTTTCGGGAGTGACTGGAGCTTCGGTGCGACCGTTTTTCAGAGGCCGATCAAGAAGGTTTTTGTTGCGCAGACCCATATGAGATGGGAGGAAAGTTCAGTGCCCGGGTGCACCGCCCACCACGGAGCCCAACAAGGGGGTAGGTAATGTGCCATTGCAAGAAAGGCTTGGCTGGCACAATTACTCTACCAGTGCTGCCCGGGCACTATACCCTAGTGTGGTTGCAGGGACAGGACCTGTTTCCACTCAAGGTTGGCCCTTGCCGCCTAAGAAGGTGAAAAAGGAAGGAAGAGAGTGTAGAAAAGAAAAAGAGGTGGGAGGAAAAGTGAAAGAAGGAAGAAGAGGGTAGAAGAGGCGACTGACTGAATCATCCTGGTCGGGCCAAGCCAGGACACCCGTCTACGAGAAGCAGGGGCCGAAGCGGTGTATTGCCTCGCCCGGGGGGCCCTGAAGGGTCCAAACATACCCCGGGCTCAGCTCAACCACCAGGGTCCCCTTTTCCCAGGACACGGGTACGCCACGCACAGCCAGACGTGGGTGGGCGAACCCACATGGCTCGGGGTTCGTAGCGACGCCACTCACCAAGCACCTACCAAAGTAGGTGCCCCCTGCGTGCGGGTATGGTGGCCCACGTGGCTGGGGTCCGTGGTGACGCTACTCACCAAGCACCTAGCACCTAAGGTGCAGGCGCCCCCTGCGGGGCTCGAGGTCCGTGGAGACGCCACTCTCCAAACACCTGCTTTCACAGGTGCCCCCTGCGGGGATTTACTGCCATAAAAAGTCCTGCAGGATCTCTTGCGAAGGCTTCTCCACCATCGAAAAATAATCTGGGGTTTCGCGCAGGGGTAAGAGAGTGTGGGTTGGAGGGGGGCAGTCACGATGTCCTCTTATAAGAATGGAAGGACACATACAGAAAAAACCTGCACTTGTATTGAATAACTGTGCTCTTGATGAGAAACAGTGAGTGTTGCCACTGAATGCCGCAACCGATATAGTGAAATACGTTCAGAGCAGTTTCCAATCAGAGTCTGCACTCCGTGCCACATACAAGGAATCTTCTTGACTTGATTTTTTACATTTCTACATGTGAAACGACTGGATTCCAAGCACCCTCTTGGCTTTCTTCTGCCAGTGATCAAAAATTAGTATTGTTCAAGCAGTCGGGAATTTAGTGCAAAGATTAGAGATTGAGTGGTTTTCTTTTTTTGCAAGTGTGGAAACGGAGGAAGCCAGACTTTATAACGCAGACTTGTGCGTTAAGTTTGTAGTGCCCGTTACGAGAAATGTGTGTGGAGAGGTTAAAATCAATTTTGATGGCGAGCCTCAGATGCCACAAGCCACGGTACTGACGGACACCCACGGAAGCTCGTGCTGCTGAAACGAGGGAATTTGGGTTTGATCCACGCCCATGCTTGTTTCGATCTGGATGAGAATCGTACTGGCACGCGCTCGTGCAATCACTACTGCATGATGCACATCGAAGACCCTAGGGTAGCAGTCGTACTCTACTGGTAAAACTTCTCATCTAGAGTGGAAATCCTGGCGCCATTCTGAAGCAGAATAATATCCTCAATATAAATTGAGTTTTTTTTTAATATATGATTATTTGGAATTTTGCATTCAAAGTTAAGGGGAGGAGCGACATGCCTGCAGGTAAGACACCTGAGGGCATTGAAGGGTGTTCTACCGGGTGACTGCGAAGGGATCTAGGGGCGGCGGAGGGAAGACGGGTACTTACCAGGAGAGGTCTTTTCTTAAAGTTGTCCGTCCCTAGCGATTCTAGAGAAATTATTCAAACTATATGGAGAGTAAACTATCTACATTAAAGTATTTAAAATATATTTGATTAATTCTAGTAGTAAAGTTTGTGCACGTTTGGAATAGAAAAAATTTATAATGCAGACAATTGTATTCTTTATTCCAGGTGCATTCAAAGTTGCACCAATGCACAATTGGGAAAGTCCTGTTTTCAACCTCACCTTAGGTGCAATTTTTTCCCACAAGTACAAACAAGCTTCTTCCAAAAGTAAGGTTTTTACAGTTGTGCAGACAGATTTCTACACCCTACAAAAAAATTTCATTGAAAATGAAAATTACGGGTGACACCACCCTGACCGTCCTCATCTGAACACACCCAGCAGAAAGGCACTTCATTGCTGTTTTATAAATAGTAACTTGTTACCAGTAACACGAGAGTTGGCATTTTAAATAGTTTTTAAGAATCTATATCTGTCCTAGCAAAATAATTTTGCTGTATTTGTATTTCAAAATACTTTTCTCTTTATCAAATGTACTGTAAAGGACTTAATTTTCGCAAATTTCGCGAATCGCCTACAATTTGCAAAAAAATAGATCCCTCAAACAATTCCGGTAAAATGTAAACACATTGGGATCTATATTGAGACCCCACCACGTCGTGAAAATTAGAACCCGCAAATTATTCCGAAACTTCAGCTTTGACATAACTCGCAAAATATTGAGCCCGCAAAAAAATAAGTTGTTTACAATATTTCTGATATGCATCACAAAACTTTTGCACAGATGTATTTCAGCTGTTTTTGCCATGTATCACAGTATTAGCATTTCCAAATACATTTTAGAGTATTTCTGCCCAACCCTGGCCCTGTCTACTCCCTTCTCTTTCCTCGTTTATTGCGCACTGTTTCACTAATTTCTAAGAATGAACCACCTTGCCCGCACCGCCACCTTAATTCGGTAAGTTCAGTAGGAAAACCAATAAATTGGCAATACCGACCTTGAGGTTGTGCGGGAGTGCGAGAACGCTCAGGCCGCTGAACTTGGAGACAAGGTCGCTGACCATGTTCCTGTTGTGCACGATGACCAGTGTGTGGGTGTTCTTCAGCACTGCCACGGCCGCCTTCTCAAACGAGGGGGACGAATCGAAGGCGGCACAGCCACAGAAGAGCGCGTACGGTAGGTACGGCCTACCCAGGAACTCCCGGTGGCTGATGAGGGTCTCCTGATTCGCGCCAATGAGTTGGCGGCTGGCATCCAGCACGAGCCTCTCGGGAAAAGGGCGGGAGGCTGGCCACGGGGTGTCTAACCTCAGCACGATCAGGTCCTCTTCGGTCACTAGTTGGTCGGGATCACCAAACCTCTTCAGCAACTCCATGTCTGGCCGGAGGCTGCGGCAGGATGAAGAAGCAGGTTGCGGAGAATAAAGACCCGTTTACACACTTGTGTTGCCTAAGAATGAGTTCTTGCGACCTTTTACGATGAGACAAAACAGTGGCGCCATCAATGACGAGACACTAGAATTGCACTTCACTACAGTCAAAATTTTTCGAGACTTGCGAGAAAAAAAAAAAAATTTCGGAGACACCTAAGCATTTCTTAAAGGTAGTGAATGCAAAAGCATGGAAGCCATTCTTCCGCTCCTTTAGGTCGTCTGCGGCGTACTGGCATGGAAGGCCACGTTTCGCTAATGCCGAGATTACGGCCAACAACCGAATGCATACTTTCGTGAAGTGGCCGCGCCGCACTGAGCTCGGCCGTTAGTGATGCAAAACTATCGATAAATTGACTATCGATACTATCGATAGTTTTTCCAAAACTATCGATAGTGTTTCAGAACTATCGACAGTCGACTATCGATAGTACTATCTATAGTTTTTCGATAGTCGACTATCGATAGTCGCAGTATAGTAAAAACTATCGAAAAACTATCGATAGTTTTTTACTATACTGGCGACTAACAATACTATCGATAGCGCTATCGATAGTCTTGCACCACTATAGTCCGTTACAACTCAAGAAGGTAGGGTAAGATGGGCCGGGCAGGGGGAAGCAGACGGAACGTTAAAGAGAGAAGGAGGTTTCCCCATCTCTTCTCCAGCATTCCGTCCGCTTTCTCCTCCCCGGCCCCTCCACCGCCTCGCCTTTCTGTCTCCTCTCTTCGCCCAAACTCCCGTCTTCGTCATCACTGAAAGCTGAACCAAAGTTGGGATGACAAGTGCTTGGGCTAGCTGGTGTCCCTTTGAAAAAATAAAGCGATAAAAAGAAAAGAGGGAGCGACGCTAACTACTAGTGTCACAAAACTATCGATAGTAAATCGTCGACAGTACCATCAATAGGTTTGCGATAGTCGACTATCGATAGTTTTCCGATGGACGATTAACGATAGTTTTCCGGTAGTCGAATATCGATAGTTGTTAGATAGTTGACTATCGATAGTTTTTATTATCGATAGTCAGATTTCTGACGACTATCGATAGTGCTATCGATAGTTTTGCACCGCTATAGTCCGTTAAAACTCAAGAAGGTAGGGCGAGGGTAGTTGATTAATGATAGTTTTTTGACAGTCGACTATCGATAGTACAGTTAAAACTCGATTTAACGAAGTCGAGGGGAGCCGCGAATTATTTCGTTAAATCGGGAACTTCGCTAAATCGGGTGAGGCATTTTTCGAACATTTAATTCGGCACAATCGATTATGTAGCGTAGCGGCATCCAGAAAACTACGGTGGCATCATATTTGCGCAGCGTAAATGCGCTGAAAATGTAAAATTGCGGCCTACCGAAACGACCGAGATCGCTAGCACGTAAAGAAAGAAAACGAGAATTGTTACCTCAACGAAGAGGGCCACAGGGGACTACACGTTTATTTTCCAGCAAAGAAGTCGGTTATCTTTGCTTGCGTGCGCTTTGTGAGCAGCGGCCGGACTGACTTCTCGTAGGCCTGAAGTGCATCCAGCGCATCTTCGGTTCCCTCGTGTGCTCCAGCAAACTGCCGCAGCAGGTCAATTGCATCCATCACTTAACCTGGTGTCGGCACGGGAGCTTCGGTAACCTCACTGTCGTTGTCAACATCGTCAGCCGCCACTCCCTCCACGCTTTCAACAAGCCTCAAGATGTCCCCGTCATCCAGAACTTCAGTCGTGACGGCGTTTGCGTCAGCGTTTACGTAGTCGGAGAAACTCATCCCTAGGGAATTGTAGTAGACCGTTTTTCTCCTCCGCTACGTTATCCCCGAAGAAAACGCCGCAGCTGCACATGCGCGCCGCCAGCCTTCTCTGCATAGTTCAAGGTCTTGTGGCGGATTACGGAGCGCTATCCGGGTGCTTAGCGGGCTGCGGGAACGGTCTACTACAATTCCCCCCTGTCGGCACTTCATCCGCTAAGCGAAGGCGCTCCCAGGCATCTTCGTGCTGGTGCACGGCGCCCGCGCAGTCCGGTGCAGCTTCGGCAGTTTCGCGGCCTGGCGTACCGAAGCCAGAATTCCTGAAGCAGTTGACAATTACCGACTGCCTCGTTGCCCTCCAAGCCGCCGCCACCATCTCAACCGCCATGAAGACGTCGATCTTCGTATCGCGCTTCAGGTCCAGGTTCAGAAGAACCCTTTCAACGACTCGACGCTGGTATGCGCACTTAACGCTATTAAAAATCCCTTGGTCTAGAGGCTGGACCACAAACGTAGCATTTGGGGGGAAGTACCGGAGCTCCACGTTGGTGAGCTCAACCGCTGGCACGTAGTGGGCGGTGCAGTTATCCAGCAACAGGCAGACGTTCCTTTTCTGGCGGCGCATGTCGCTGTCAAATTCTTCGAGCCATGTGGTGAAAATGGCACGCGACATCCAAGCTTTTGAGTTTGCAACGAACTTCACAGGAAGCCTTTTCGTGCCCTTAAAGCATCGCGGCCTTGCGCTCTTGCCGATAACAAGGGGGTCTCGTTTGTCACTGCCGTCCATGTTAACGCACAGCAAGAGAGTGAGCCTCTGTTTGCTGTGCTTACCGCCATGGCACGTCTGGCCCTTCAGCGCGAGAGTCTTTTTAGGTAGCATCTGGTAAAAGAGGCCGCTCTTGTCGGCATTGTAGACGTCGCTGGGAGTGTATTTTCCAAGAATGTCGAGCACATTTTCTGACAGCCAGTCGCCGACTACAGCCATGTTCACACAGCTCGCTTCACCGCTGAGCACCTTCCCGACGATGCTGTACCGTTCTTTGAAGCGCGACAGCCAGCCAGGACTTGCTTTAAACTCGTCATCACCCAGCAGGCATGCGAAAGAGCGAGCTTTTTGTTGCAGCAGGTCACCACTGACGGGAATGTTCTTTGCCCGCACATCCGTAAACCATGCGAAAAGGGCCTCTTCCACCTTGCCATGGGGGGTAGTCTTCAGTGCTTTTTTGTGCGCGAGGTTCCCAGACGAAGTGGCGCGGAGGATGTCGTCTTTCCCCTTCAATATTGTAGAAAGGGTACTGGCTGGAATGCCATGTGCTGCAGCCACGTCACATTTCTTCTGTCCACTTGTTACAGCACGAATTATGGCCGCTTTCTCGTCCAGAGTAAGCCTTTTTCTTTTCTTCTGGGGCTCCATGTCCAACCTGTCGAACACGCCAGTCACTAGGCCTAGCGGCGCGCTTGCTCGCACCCACCACGTCCGCGTCCACAAGACAGCAAGGCTAGGCTGACTACAGGCCTAACAACTTGAGCCTGCAAAAGTAACTTGCGCTCAATGAGGAACTGACGTAAAAGAGGGACGAAAGCACGGGAAATATCCGCAGAAGAACGATAGCGACCTGATACCTGATTGCACAAAACAAGTTGAAGCATACGAGATCACCGAATTGCAACAGCGCCATCTATGGCATGCGACACGATGCTTTTCTTTTTTACTGCTGGTGCCATCTGGCGAATTCAACTCAGACTTTTAACTTTCGTATTACGCGCGCAGCTTGGAAAGAGCGGGACCCCCGTGCTCCGCGACGTTGCCGTTGGCTTGTAATCGATAAAGTTTTGGGAGTTCTCTAGAACACGGACTTAAAATAAGACCTTTTTACCCTCATTTCCCGAAAAAAAGTTTGTTAAATCGGGACGGATCACGAAATTGACTTCGTTATTTCGAGTTAGTAAAAGCATTGAACTCTATGGGCGTCTGTTGGGGAATCGAGATATCTTCGGTAAATCGGGAACTTCGTTAAATCGGGTTTCGTTAAATCGGGTTTTGACTGTACTATCGATAGTTTTTCGATAGTCGACTATCGATAGTTTTCTGATAGTTGATTAACAATAGTTTTCCGATATTCGACTATCGATAGTATTTGCATAGTCGACTATCGATAGTTTTTCGATGGTCGACTATCGATAGTTTTTCGATAGTCGACTATCGATAGTACTATCGATAGTTTTTTTCACTATCGATAGTCAGATTTCTGGCGACTATCGATACTATCGATAGTTTTGCACCACTATCGGCCGTGCAACCATTCCAGAAACTGCCCGTGCAGGCTCTGCTGGTTTGTTAGCCAACCACTCCCTCTTACCACCGGCCGGGCCGCTGTGCCGCTATGGAGGGGGCTTTTCTGGGGGCATTCCTTGGAACTATGCCGTGCAAGAGCCAATGGGAGCCTCGATTCTTGAAACTTTGACGCACGCCAGCCAATGGGAGACTATTCACCAGATCACTGCTACAGACAACAGGCTTCACTCCACTGGGAAAGGGGAGTTTAGGTGCCGTTGGGCGTGGCTTCAAAAGCTCATAATGCCGATTCGCTCCATGGGACCAGTTAATGCTTTCGCATTAAAATTTATGAACTATCTGTGAGGAATGATTGTTGGGCGAAATTCTGAGTTATATGTCTATTTAGAAACCTGGTTCTTTATTATACAACACACATTCATTTGTTTCATCGTCCGGATTCATTTACTAGCAAAAAAAAGACAATTTCTGTTTCCCTGGAAACTTTCTTCTCAGTTCTACCAAGGTAACCAAAATAAAATTTTCAACGTCTGTGCAAGACGGCGATGCAGACTGGACTCGATGGGCAAAGCCAAAGCGTCAGATATCGCTCCAACAGCGGCGCCATAATAACATCACGCGTGCGAGTCAACAGATGACATCCATCATCCAAGATTATCCTCAAATACTTGTAAGATGACCGACCTCATTGAGCTCTAGTGTCACCTATCACACCGCGGTCGGCTTTGAGGTTTCGAGTCGTACGTCGGCCCAACGTGTTGTTTGTGCTACCGTTCGTCGTGCTACAGAGAAGAGTCTGAGGGAATGGCTTGCAACTTCGATCGGTCGAGCCGCATCCCGAAATAATTGTCAAATGACGAGCCGCGAATACTTTCTCCTTTCAACTGGAAAATTTCTGATCTGCTCGCAGAAAAGGGACCCGAAGGTTG